AAAAAAAAAAAAAAAAAAAAAAAAAAAACGAAATCGACGGCTTTCAACGGAAACACACACACACACACACACACACACACACATATATATATATATAGTCAAACAGAGCTGCCCGGTAAACCGTAGGTACATATATAGATAGATAGATAGATAGATAGATAGATATATGTCAAACAGAGCTGCCCGGAAAGCCGTAGGTATATATATAGATAGATAGATAGATGTACATGTATATATATATGACTCGGAATATACTCCAACTAGTAGGACTTCTCTCAGTGAACTTGGTCGTAACTGGCGTCAGATGCTTTTTCGAGAAAGAGAAGTCCTCCCGTGAGAACACACTCATGGGCCGTCGTATGACTTGATCAACCTCTCTGTTACCATAATTACGGCCAGATACGTCAGGGAATTACTGTAAAAGCGCGGCTTACTCTAGTAGCTTGCTGAAAGTAAATGCTCGCAGAGAAAAAAAGCCGTCTGATAAATTTTGCACTACCGGCTACACCCTACTTCGAAGACACAAATGAAAAAAAAAAGAAAGAGAAAACCAAATACATATAAACACACACACACACACACACACACACACACACACACACACACACAGGGGAGGGGAGGGGGGGAGGGGGAGGAGGGAAACACTTACTTTACAGGAAAAAGAACGCCCAATTCGGGATAACCCCGACCTCCCTCCAATTGCGACAACTCGATCGTGTCAGTGCCATTGAATTTGTACCGACATTGAACTGCAGGCGGAGGCGCAGGGGTGGAAGGAGCAGTGGTGTTTGCAGAGGTGTTCGTAGAAGCCACCATAGCCGGCGGAGACGTAGATGCACCAGGAGTCTGAGAGATCGCCATCTCCGGGAAGAGAAGCACCAACGACACGACGACCGCCATAGCCAGAGCTAACGAAGGTCGCATTCCCATTGTTACCCGAGTAGCCATCTCTCTCTCTCTCTCTCTCTCTCTCTCTCTCTCTCTCTCTCTCTCTCTCTCTCTCTCAGGACAATATAGAAGAAGGTCACCACAACGAGGAAGAGGAAGAAGGAAGAAGAAACTGGCGATGGAGAGAGAGAGAGAAGGACCGGTCAATGAGGAGGAGTCGCTGGCAAGAGAGGAATCGGACCACGAAGGCGTGAGTTAGATTGCTGCTGCTGCAGCTGCAGCTGCAGTCGATCGAACAGATAGCAAGAAAAGTCCGCTGGCGAAAAGGACAAGCGTCAAGCACAATAGCACACTCACGCTAGACAAATACAATTGCCTATTTATGTGAGGAAGGCCGGAAGAAAGTTGGGAGAGGTGGTTACCAGACGTAGGGAGAGGAGAGGAGAGGAGAGGGAGTGGGGGAAGAAGAGAACGGCCGCAGGCGAGGACTAAGCGCCAGGTAGTGTGCTACTAGCTCAGAGGATCGAATCAAGCGCCCGAATCTAGAAGCGTTTTGCGCGGAGATGCAGAAAAGACGATCAACGGCTCTCTGCACTTATCCACGCGCACGTGCAGATTCGGGTATAAAATCCAATCCTATTTGGTATCGGTAGCGGGTACTCGCCCTAAGGAAAGGATTGCAAAAAAGGGAAAAAGTAGGGAAAACGAGAGAGAGGGAAAAAGACATAATAGAGCCAATGGATGGATAGAATGAAGAAAACGACAAAAATTGGGGAGCTTTTTGGAGCATTGTGAGCTGTGTGCCTCGCTGTCCTATGTCAACGAATCCGTGAAATGCTCTCTGTACGTGTGCGTGTGCGTGTGCGTGTGTGTGTGTGTGTGTGTGTGAGAGAGAGAGAGAGAGAGAGAGAGAGAGAGAGAGAGAGAGAGAGTGTGTGTGTGTGTGTGTGTGTGTGTTTGTGATGGGAAAAAAAACCGTTGACATTTTCCTTTGCAAAACGACGGGGAGAGAATGAGTTTCGGATGTAGACACAGTAATGACCATCAGATTTTCTGATCGGACGGCCGCAAACCACCAATGTTTGGAAAGTACACGATCTCAATGCTACCGTATTCCCCGAATAGGAAAACAAAAAAACAAAAAAAAAAACAAAGGGCCCAATCATGCTGCCCCTAATCAGTCGGCCAACGAATAGGTGGTTCTACAAGGAAAAAGAAACTCGAGATCAAAAAGAACAAAACTGACCGTTAACGGTAGTTGCATCATCGACCCCTTTTTTTTTTCTTTTTTTTTTTTTAAGCATTTATCTCCACCAACGCCAATGAGTAATGACGTTTTATTTTTATTTGTTTTTCGAGTAGTGAAGTTTCAGTATCCAGCAGCCTAGCTCAGGTGGTAAGGCACGCAAGTGGCATTCAGAAGGTCTTGGGTTCAATACCCATCGCCTCATGTACCTTCCTGGGCAAGCTTGGCGCCCGGCCACCTAGAGATAGGCCGTTGGTACCACCGAGTGGCATTTAGCAGAGACTGCTGACGTTGATAGGGGGAGGGGACCGGGGGGGAGGCACAGCGACTGGCCAATGGACCAGGCTAGGTCCTGGCCTCTGGCCCATAGAAGAAGCTAGGTCCTGATGCTACCTGCTGACCCCTGGCCGGTATCTCCCACCTGCTGTAAAGCAGGTATCACACCTGCTGATGGGTGCAGCTCCGCCCACCTGCTGTAGAGCAGGTATCACACCTGCTGATGGGTGCGGCAGCCTCCATGTTCCCTCGTTGGAGGCTTGAACACAGATGTGGCTGCTACGGGTTCCCAGTAATACTAAAATGACAATGTAGAGCAGGTATCACACCTGCTGATGGGTGTGGCAGCCTCCATGTTCCCTGGTTGGAGGCTTGAACACGGATGTGGCTGCTACGGGTTCCCAGTAATACTAAAATGACAATAAAAAGGGGCTGCAACGGAGCTAGTGGGACAAGGTCCCAGATTTGACAGGTAATTGAATTGGTTCACTGGATTTCGCAAATTCTTCATGGAATTCTGGACAAAATGGGCCTTGGGGCGATACCTGTTTGAAGGTCCTGTGGAATGGTTGGTGGGGGGACTCATAAGGGTGCTGCGGCGTGGGAAATCGATCCAAAAACTGTAGATTCATACACGGTGCTCTCAGATAGCGGCGGCGCTCAATCAGGAAATGGCAGATCTTATCGCCAGGGCCTCACAACAACCGGTTGATGAGCAGGACCTTATGTGTGCAATGGACGAACTTCGTCAATGCACAGTTCTTATATTAGGATTGTCGGCGATAAGAGAGGCAGCACATTGTAATAAGGTTTCCTGGTTGGTCAAAGGGGATAAGATGAATGCTGCTTTTTTGATGGGACATCATCTTAGAATGACACCTTCGCCAATGCTGACAATGAAACATCCGTGGGACCACAGAAATCATCCAAAATGTGGCGCTGTTTTATGAACAGCTGCTGGCTTCTCAGGCACAACACATAGAGCAGCAACTGCTGATGGAGTTTCATGACTCAGTCTCGTCAACGGTGGGAACGACAATAACCTCGTTTCCTCGTTGGACGCGCAGCGATTGGACGAGCCGCCCACAATGGAAGAGACCCGGACGACTCTTTCTTCATTGTCGTTGCACAAGGTACCGGGCCAAGATGACCTCCCACTTCTTTTTTTCATACAGAATCTGTTGAGGTTATTAACCGCCCTGACAACCTCCGTGCAAACATTTTTTTGGGGTGCTTCGCCTCTGGTAGAAATGCTAACTGGCATTATCACATTTATTTATAAAAAACTGGACCCGGCGAACGTACGCAATTGGCGCCCGATCACTCTCATGCTGGTACTCTATAAATTGCTTTCCAAGATTCTAGCCCTCAGATTGCAGTCTATCCTGCCAACTTTAAACCACTAGTACTTGGCCCAGCTATCGGTTGCAGAAGAAAAAAAAAAGTAGAAACGTTTCTAGTCGGATGAATTTGGGCCCTCCTGTAGTAGCCCGTATGATTCCTAAAATTGTAGCGCGTTAACGGGCACGACTCTAGGAAGTACTGGTGGTTTAACACACTCCATTCAGACTGGTTTTCTAAAACATCGTCAAATATTTTTTAATGTAATGAAGGTAGCGCAGATAATGTAGATGGTGGGTCAGGGAGCTGACCTCGCCCAGCTATAGAAAAAAGTTGCGGCTGCTAACGCGTCGCAACTTTAGGGGGTCGGGGAGTTGAAGGACCGGTAGGAGCTGTTTTTCTTTAGAACTCAAAATAACCAAAAAAAAAAAAAACAGATAGTAAGATACCACTTCAAAAAGAAAAAGAAAAAGAAAGAGCAAAATTCAAGGGTGGAGAGGGTTCTCTCTCTCTCTCTCTCTCTCTCTCTCTCTCTCTCTCTCTCTCTCTCTCTCTCTCTCTCTCTCTCTGGGTTGTTGCGCAAATTTTCTGGAAAATGGGGATGAATCTTCCTCTACAAGGTGGCATGATTCATTCGCGTCACTCTGGACTGCCCCCCCGTGAGAGAGAGAGAGAGAGAGAGAGAGAGAGAGAGAGAGAGAGAGAGAGAGAGAGAGAGAGAGAGAGAGAGAGAGAAAATACTATGCGCCCCCTCTCTCTCTCTCTCTCTCTCTCTCTCTCTCTCTCTCTCTCTCTCTCTGGGTTGTTGCGCAAATATTCTGGAAGGTGGCATGATTCATTCGCGTCACTCTGGGCTGCCCCGCCGTGAAGGCACAGAGAGAAAGAGAGAGAGAGAGAGACAGAGAGAGACAGAGAGAGAGAGAGAGAGAGAGAGAGAGGCGGCCGCCGTCTCTCTCTCTCTCTCTCTCTCTCTCTCTCTCTCTCTCTCTCTCTCTCTCTCTCTCTCTCTCT